ACAATCAAGCATAAATTAATAAGAAAATAACAATTGTTTTTCATTTTTTCTATATTTTGTATTTTTAAAATAAGTTTATAATTTAAATAAAGAACAATTGATAGTAACAAATAAATAAAAAGTTGGCCAAAAGTCTCGATAATATTTTTATACATTTTGATAAGAAAACAAATAGCTCGTACGTATCTACGTTTTCCTTTTAGTATATTAATGGAATGATCTTTGTCTGCAAGAATGAAAATAATATAAAGTACCTTCTTAGGGTTTGGAATTGAACAGAGGGGGAGGTGAGTTATCATTTCTTGGTAAGCAAACTCATCCATCTCCGCCAGTTGAAGAGAGCCGTTCAAGATAACAACCTTGCCACGAGCTGACGACTACAATCATAATCAAACATGACATTTTGCAATTAATAGCAAAAATGTAAAGCTATATATATATATAAAGATTTTCTCTCGAAAAAAATAGCTAGTACCTCAAATACAAGAAGATCTTGGCTACACTCTGATTTCCCATGAAACATGATCTTTTCAATCTTGTACAAGGACGCCACTCCTGTAAAATATTAAAAGAATGAAGAATATATATATATATATATCCTTGTGAAAAGCTGTTACACCCTACATTGCGACGACCTTAAAAATCTACTATCCTAGTTTCTCTCGGTTCCCTCCTACTCAGGATGAAGGAGATGATAATAAAGGCATGACGTTTGGAATCAGCCTCAAACCTCGATATTTTTTTAATTAAATTCTTGATTTAGATATTAAAACTAATTTAAAATTTCATTAAATCTCAAAACCTTTAATTTATGTTGTCTTGCTTAAATTTTAATATATTATTCATTTTTATTATTTTATATACATTTATTTTTAATAAAATAGGAGGAGTCAAAAATTAAACTACAATAAAGCTGAAAACAATTTCTACGCGCGTCGGAGAGAAACTCTGGGCTGAAATTCATAACAGAAATTAACAGTTTTATAACACTGAAGAAAAAGGAAAGATTGCGCCTAGCTAGTGAAGATCTTGGTCATCTTAGATACAAAAACCCCTCACTTGAGCCTAACTCTCCCGATTGGATATTCCACAGATCTTATGGATTTCGTCATGTTTTGGTCACACGATTTCGTCGGATCACACAAACCTGACGAATTTTATAGTCCAACAAAACCAGATCTTACCTAAATTTGATTTGATTCTAGTCAAATCAGGTTAAAATTCAGAGAGCAATGCCGATGAATTAAATGAAATTATTATCAGGATGCTTTTTATCCAGGGAAAAGAGAGAAGAAGAAGGGTGGGACTCATGCACCCAAATTGGAGTCCTTTCTTATTTTTACTTTTTCAAAGTATCCTCCCAAATGCTTTGGGAATAGTGCATGTTGAAGGATATGGCATGACCTCAGATAAATCCAAACAATAACAGTTAACAGTCGTCATCACACCGCAAAGTAAAGAACATGCTGAACCCTTGTTCACATTTATAAACTGTTTATTGTACCTAAAAAGAGAGCCAAATCTAAAGTAGAGCAAATGTAATGAAGAGCATTAATTCTTTGTCACCTTGGAATCTAGAGGATTCTTTCAACCCGAAACAAAGCTTATCAGATGAAGAACACATTAATTACCTGGATATCCAGGAGAAACATCAACATACCATCCGGGAATTGCAAGAGACGTTTCACCATGAAGCTCATGATTCTCCATTTGACGAGCAGCTGCTAAAGAAGATAGGATAGTGCTCTTAGCATCATGACTGGCTGCCTTACGATCTTCCTTCAGCCCCCTGACATGTAATGTGTCATAAGATTCAGTATAAGCGAAGCCATTATTCTCTCTATCCATGAATTCTGTATTTCTCTCCTCAGCTAGCTCTTTGTTACTATTACACTGCTTGAGCTAGGATTTATAAAAAGGTTAAGGACTGAGTCGTTGCATGGGGCAATATATATATAAGGGCAGAAGCCACCGACCATTTATCGAAAGATAAACGTTCTTAAATTTACTAGTTTTGCCTCGCAAATTAATCATGCTGCACAAAGCAGAGGTTCTAAAAGCCAAAAAATTAATATATGTGAAATAAAATAAAATAAATTTCAAGCATATCACGTGTCTTCAGCTGATTATAATCTTAACGTGGGATCCCATGCTGGATTCCATCAATTGAATAACCAGTATGTATGTATTCTTATATAAAATTTAAACTTTTTCCTTGACGATTAATATCGTATTCTCAAAGCCTCCATTCCTGAAACCATTTAAATTTATATATTCAGTTTATTGCTTTTTATGCATAGCCGTATCTCGTATACTTTCTAGACTGCAAACAATTCTCATGTAGCTTCCAAATTGTGAATTTTACAAGCCTGATACTGTTATGTTGTTATTGATGTGTTATATTAGATTGTGGTGTATTATAATAATAAAAATACTAAATCTGGTTAGTGTTTCACGAGACGTTAACTTGCAAAATGAATAGACTAATTTGCCCTTTTTAGGCAAAGCCGAATAATATGGTTTGAGGGGGTAATATAACTTTTTATTCATTGGACACATTTATCATGGCAAGATTGAATAGGGGTAGGTCAGTATTTTTCTTTTTATAGTGTAATGACCCAAATACCATCAAATCAAAATTTAATTAATTTTTTTACAAGGGTATTTTTGAATCTTCAATTTCGAAAGCACATTATAATATCTAAAATATCCTCCAAAGCAAAATCATATAGTTGTTGTTTTCATTTTTTTTTTAGGGTGTTATTTATTTATTTATTTATTATTGTCAAGTTGGATGAGACTTAGTTTGGTCTTTCGATAAATGAAAAAAAAAAACATTTGCTCACGAACACAATGCATGCGCCAACAAGTCGGAGGAGCTTGTGTTTTTTCTAGCACATATTTTCACAGCATTGTCAAAAGCAGCTCACTAAGGTTTTCTTGTGGACAAACACGTCGAAAAGGCATGTTGTTTTCTTTTCTTTTCTGTTTTTTAAATAGATTTTTATTTGATTTTCTCTCTGTACTTCACTTGTTTATATTTTGTAGGTGAGTCTAAAATAAAATGTCCCATAAAATTTTCTACCAGTGCAACTAAAGAGCTTAAACTAAAATTAGTAAAATAGCAACATTACATGCATAAAAGTACCTATTTGTTTTTTTTTTTAGGCTAGTTGTTTGCAGTTGGGGAGAGTTCGTATGGGAAAAAAAAAGGAGAAATAGGGAAGGAGAGGACCGGCATAGTGGACATATATTAACTTTTACTAACGGATTCATCAACAGAATAATTATGTTTGTGATTCCGTCGGTTATTTTGACGGTGAACAAGGCACGTCATTGCATGGAGATTTCAGTTTGAATCCTTCAGTGATTTTGTCAGCATTTCAAACGGTCATATCATCGTACGGAGCTACCGTTTGAATCCACCAGTAAAATTACTCACAAAAACCTCCACATAAATGAACTACCTTTGTATTCTGTCTGTCATTCCGTGAGATATATATATTTTGAATATTTCATCAGTAAATACCAATCGAATGTGTTCGTCTGTATATACTAGTGGAATTACGAATGAAAAAATATCATTGATAATTGTGACCTCAAATTATCGATATAAGTATTCCATCAGTAATGTTGTTGGTATTAAGTGAATTTCTGGTAATGGGTCATGCCACCAACCCTGAAAGTTAAAGTGAAAATGATAACAATAATTGTGCAAATTTTTGAACCATAAGAATTTTTTAGGAAGATTCCAACAATAATTATATGCATTTCACACTTCACTCTAAGAGTTTGTTTGATATTGTAGTAGTAATTATTTTTTAAAATACTTTTTATTTGAAAATATATTAAAATAATATTTTTTTTATATTTTTTAAATTTATTTTTGATATTAGTATATCAAAATAATCTGAAAACATAAAAGAAAACTATTTTAAAACAAAAAAAATAAAATTTTCTTTTTAAAAAATACTTTTAAAACATAAAATTAAACAGGATTTAAGACAACTAAGAGAAACTTTCTTCTATTTGGGGTATGACAAATATGACTATTGGAGTTATAGGATACTTGTTTCGATTTCTATTTTTTTGCTTTACAATAAAATTGCTTATAGTTTATTTAAATGATTATTTTTTTATTTTATTTGTTAATAATAGGTTGGTTGGAAATTGAATTTTACATTTTTTTTTTAAGAAGTTATCTATATCTCATGACCCGGATTATAAGTCTAATAGGTTAACATAAATTGATTGAAAGAAATTTTCTATTTTTTAATTTTATTTTTCAATATTAATTTGATTATAAATTAAATTTCAAAATTTATTTTTATTTGTAGTTTATAAGGTTATTATGGGCTTATAATTCAATTCATATATTTAACAAGTTAATTCTGGTTGATTCAATATATAATAGTTTTATTATTTAAAAAACATATCATTTAATATATATCACTGCATCAATATTTTTTTTAAAAATCATTTAACATATTTTAAGTTTGTCAGTAATTTTTTTATTAAAAATAATTTTTTATTGAAAAAATCTTATCGGACTTATAAGGCAGTATGTGTCTGTAATCTAAGTAAATACTTAAAAAAAATTTCAAATGTTTTTGTATTCTTTATTTTAAGTTTAAAAGCTATTTCTATTATTTCTATCAAACATTTCTTTGTTTGGTGGTTCTAATATTGTTAAACTTTAATCGTTAACTCGACAGCTTGTTCAAAACTTTTTTTTTTTTATCTTAAAGTAACAATTCAATCCTTAGACTTATTGATTTTTATAATGAACCTTTAATTTTTTTTTAACTAAATAATATTTGTTTGATTGGATTATCTAATCATGAATGTGATTATTTTTTGTGCCATTGAGATTGATGATACTATTTTCACTTAATAAAATTATTGTGACTTTGTCATGTTTAAAGGATAGATTGGTTGATTTGAGCATGATGAAAGAATTAAATTGACAGATTTAGTTTTGTGAGGATTGAATTATTGCTATATATTAGGTTATTAAAGTATTTTGAACTTGGATTTTGATTTTGTTATCTCATATTATCTAGATATATTATTTTCTCAATAAAAGTTGAATGTCCTATAATATTAGATTTTTTTTCCTTGGATTTAGATTAAGAAATAAATTAAATATAAAAAAATTCTAACAATAGATATATGATATTATAGAAAATAAAAATTTTATTTTTTAAATGGGTAAAGATGTTTAAATCCGCTTAACCATTGCCTTGCCCAAAAATTAGGTGTGGGAAAAAAAATAAAAAAATAAACCAAAAAAAATTGAATCAAGCAAAAAAGATTAAACCAATTAAATTTTTTACAAAAATTTTCAATTTGATTTTTGTTTTATACTATTAAACTGGTAAACTCAAACTAAACTGAACTGTTTAAAAAAAAAGTACTACAAATGAAAAAAAAAATGCTTTATATTCTAACTCAAACATAGTAACCCTAAACAGCCTTCTTTTAAATATACATAGATACGTCTCTTTCCAATTTTTATTTTTCGATTTGTATCTTCACTCTTTTGATCTAGCATCTCAATAACACTCTCAAACCTCAGCACTCAGTAATAGTTCATCTAAGACTCTAAGCACTCTTTTTCGGTTCTTTACAATAAGATTTTTTTTTTTGTTATTTTGTAATTGTGGATGAGGTTTATCAATTATATTTTATCTATATCTTAAGAATAGTTCAAAAACAGTAAAATGATCCTTTTTGTTTATACTCCAGTACGATAAAGATTCTTGGGGTGGGTGTGGCTACCACTTCACTGCCCTGTATGTGGGTATAAAAAAGAAAAAACATTACCTGTGCAAGTAATGATTAGAGTTATCATTCTTACCAAGGAAACTATTGTCAAGGAACAACTATAAAAAGCTTTATTAGTCTCAGTTATCACTGCTGCAGGTATATCTACAAAAGTTGCAGTAAATTATATTAAAAGCTTATTCAAATGGTCAGTTTATTGTAAATATCTTGATTGTTTTTTTAAATGCAGTTGTTTTTTGTTTTTTTAAATGCAAAGCAACAGTAGAGATGGTACTGTGATCAAATATATATTTTAATGATATTGTATTATTATCTTGGTTTCGGATTTCTCATGTTTTTGATATAAAAATTCGAATTAAATCGAAACCGGTTAGTTTGAATGGGTTGAAATTATTTTTTCAATCAAGTTTATGAATTGACATGTAGGGATTTAATTGAAAAATATTTTTCATTCATGGACTAAATTGAACTTATTATCAAATTCAAGGACTAAAGCAAGTTTTTAAGCATTAACCATAAAACAAAATACATAAATAAACATTCCATAGTAAAAAATGAAGATTGATTCGGAACATCAACTTCGAAATTCTTAAAAAGCTCGCAATCTCAATAGTTAGACAAAGAAAAAGCATTGTAAACGAACGGTAATCTTATTTCTTAAAGTTGAACGCTTTAATCCTACCGAAAGCATCACTTTGCGTCAGATCTTCACACTGGACCAACGCAATCCAAGAAGATTATTGCGCGTGAACTGGCCCTCTCTGTGCACCTGAATAGCTTTCCATGGAAATCGTGATAGAAAATGAAAAGAGCTTCCCCTTGTTTTTACCAGAAGACATGTTTGCTTTAAAAAGAAGCTTCTCCATTCTTCTTTCGTACTCCACATGGATGGAAATAAAATAAACAAGTTAAGCACACATTTTTCATGCATTTAAATACAATGGAAAAGTAAAATATAATGAAACGATTCTGCAGAAATCTAGTTGGACGCCACAGAAATAGTGCCGGACTCCCTCCTTGTGGATATGCAGTGCTCGAGAATCATGGCCTCTGACATTTCA